AAAAGCATCCTAATACGAACTCAAAGCTTTTCAAGCCCGTCAAAGTGCGCAATACAACCTCTAATTAGATTATTTGCAATGTATACTTCCATTTTGTACCATCAATACCATCACAACAAAGCTACAGGAATAATTTGACTACCTTGCAATCTTCAATAAAATCTCAAATAATCTATTGATACTTGTACAAATCTATCTTAATCCCACCTCGCTGGCTGTTATCATCAAGTAGGATCACTTCTTTCAACAACTGCGGTGGACTTCTATTGACAACCGAATGCACAGTTCTCATAAGAGGAGTCCAAGCTTCATCGGTGAAAATTATTACTACCGAAGCCTGAGCAAAAAAAGGAATCAGCAGGAAGGAAAAATTTGCAATGATGATACTGTACCCGAGGAAGGTTGTTGAGATCATATTTGACATCTAAACATTCGGCTCGCCTTGTATCCGGTAGGGTTCTGTCTAACGAGATCATATCACTGTAATAAATGTGTGCTTGTAATGAAGTATTCAGAGTTCGCAAAATTTCTAGGCATCGCAGAAGATGAAACTGAGTGGAAGAACGTGGTGCCCTCTTTCAGTTTCAGCTTCTATTTTATATCTTTATATGGATGTAAAAAATGTTCAAACAAAGATTTTCGGAAACGTTGAGCGGCCAGCACATCATACTGCATGGTAGGCATTACTGCACTGGTATTATAACTTTCAAAACAAATTTTGATGTGCACATTCTACAAACAATATTCGCTTTGTTCCAAGGAGGAGTTAGCAACCTAGTTATCGTAATTTCCCTTTAAAAAATGCACTCGAAAAAACATATCTGAACACAGCACACCACATACATCAATATGCAATCATTCAAAAAATTCTCATATAATGTTAGCAGTGCACTTCTGCACTTTTCCGGCAAAATTGCTATGCGGTGATATGTTGCTCGTACCAAAGACTTTGAAAACTTTGGACCAAACGTTTTGATCAAATCTGTGCTTTTGGAGAATCAATAAGGTGAACACCATGTTCGTGATTAAGCCACTGACATATACAGCTTTTCTGTTACGAGCATGTGCGAGATTGTTGACTCAAAGTTAACCCGAAATCATAGAA